ATCGCACCCCTCGGCCGGCCCTGTATATTTTTAATTATTTTACTCTGCCCAGTTTTAGGGAGGGGCATGCCCATTTTCTTTTGAAACATGCTAGATTTTCCTTAATACCCAGATTTACCTTTTTCTATAATTTTCACCTTAAAAAAATTTTTTTTTTTAAGATTTTGGGGAATTGGGGAAGGGGAACAGACAAGTTGTTGTCCTTTAGTCTTAGGTGCGGAGGGCACAGCTAGCTCAGTTCCAAGTCCAGTCACCATCCGGCCGCCCGTCGGCAGCTCGCGGCCGCTCAGCTCAAGATGCTGTGTTCAGTCTTCGTTGCAGGTGGGCATAGCCCACCATCCAATGCAGGAATCGAACCGGAAACCTTGTTGCTAAGAGTGCATGCTCTCACCACTGAGCCATCCTGCCACCTGTTGGCAGCTCAGCGGCAGCTCAGCTCTGGCGCAGCTCACTGGCCCATGTGGGAATTGAACCAGCGACCCTGTTGCTCAGAGCTTGCGCGCTTAACCAACTGAGCCACTTGGCTGGCCCTAAAACTGTTTTTAATTATAAAAGCAATACATGTACATAGTAAAGAAATATAGCATATAGAGTGGTATACCTCATTCCTATCTCTGCCTCCCACAGTTAGCCACTGTAACTTGTTCTGACAGCTTCTCTCTTAACCAGTGTTTGCTTGCTACTGGTTTCATATTTGTTGACTCCTGATATGATGAATTGGACTCACATAATGAGAAGTATTTGAGGTGCTCACGTGGTCTTGATTTTGTGTTAATTTAGGGATCCAGGACTATAAATACCCAAAGCTTGCTTGATTTGTGTCTAGGCTAACTGCAGAAGTTAGCAATGACTTAATCAAGAGAAAACAAATGTGAAAAAACAAAACAAGAGGGATAAACTTAAGTGAGGTGAAGATTTGAGTAATTTCATATAAAACACAGTTGATTTAAATAGGTGTCTTTCTGTATATAAGTGCTCAAGCTGTATTAAGGGAGAAAGTAACTTCCTTAACACTATGTATACTCTTCAGTCATTGTCCATTTTTGCTGCCTCAAGGTGAAGATGTGGAAAAAGTTTTGGATGAATGGAAGGAATACAAAATGGGAGTACCAACATATGGTGCAATTATTCTTGATGAGACACTTGAAAATGTGAGTGTAATAAAATCAAATATTTTTAATGAAATGGTGATCAACTGTTTCATCCTATTAATAAAATGTGTTATTTCTATAATGTTCTGAATGGAGGTTTTACAATATACTAGATTTTTAGTGCTAACAGATCAAATTTTGCATATTTTGTCTGCATTATGTGTCTTAATATTTTATACTTGTTNGTGGTTTTGGTCAATTTTGCATTGACTCTGTTCTGTCAGAGCAACTTTATAATCTCGGGTTCTGCATAAGATTCTGTGTGTGTATGCACATGAGTTTTAAACATCTCTGCTATTACAAAAATAAAAAAAAACCTGTTTTAGTTATGTTTCCTTAAATTATCAGTTACATGGAGAAAAAAATCTTTATTGTTAATGTGGTAGACTTCATTAAAGAGCAGTGCTTACTCTGTGGCAGGCATTATGCAGTGAACAAGGGAGGTTCGGTCCTTGTTCTTCATGAAGATGAGAGGGAGGCAGGAAAGGAAATGACTGTAGTGCAAGTGTGTAAGTTATTATAGGGTAGTAAGGGGCTCAGTAGAAACAGAGGAGAGGAATACTCAGCCCAGACTTAAGAGTTTCCTTTGGAGGAAGTGGTCTGTGTGATAACGATCTATGTGAAAGGGTGGAAAAAGTTAATGTGATTGCGTTTTAAAGAGTAAGTGATGTGGGACAATGGAGATTACAGTCAGGGCTAAAGCATGTAAGTGTCACGTAGGCCGTGTTTGTTTGGTCTTCGTAACAGTACTAGAATATAGGAGATTTTTATAAAAATTAAACTTTACTTTTTATTTTGCGAAAACACTTGAGCTTAAAGTTGAAAGAACATTACAGTGAACTGCCATCATACCTTATTATATATTCACCCTTTGTTAACATTGTTTGAAATGTGCTTTTTTTCTCTAGGGGTGTTTTGAAAGAACTCGGGAATAGTGTAGACAGTGAATTGGCAGAAGGTGAGACTGGGAACATAGTTAAGATGCTCTTTCACTAATTTATGAATTAGAAATGGAAGCCTGTGATAGAAGTGAATAGAAGAGGTTAAATTTGAATGGTACTTGGGAGGTAAAATTTGTGTTAACTTGGATGTCTGAGAAGAGGTAGAAGAAAGAATGAAGGGTGGTGCTCCGGTTTCTGGCTTAGCAGTTGAGTGGATGGGTATGCCATTCCATTTGTAGAAAAATAAAGGAGGAAAAATCTTGTGGGGGAATGATAGGTTCAGTATGGAAAAGCTGGTTTGTGTTACCCTTGGAATATTGAAGTGGAGAGACTGCATAGAATAAAAGTTAGTAGCATGAGTTCTGGAGGCAGATTCCTTGGGTTGGCATTACTAGCCATGTAATTGTGGGCAAGCTGGGCTTTTTTTTCCCATGCCTCTGTTTTCTCTTACGTAAATTGTGCACAGTCTTGTGATTTTTCTTCAGTAAGCACTCAACAATGTGGGCATCCTGGATTTGTTCCTGGGTTGAAGTTCTTCCAAGGAGCTATATTCAGAGAATAGTGGGGCAAAGGGATTTTGGGAATTGCTAGGGGATTGATCAGACTGATGGACCACTTTCAGGGAAGAAAAGACGTAAAAGCAGGAGGGTGCTAATACGGAGAAATGAAAACAGTCAGAAATTGATGTAGAGTAACGATATAGTTTGAATAATTAAAAGAATGCCATAAAAAGTTATGGTTAAGATTTTTTTTTTAATCAAACTGCCAGAGTAGTTCTAGTGATGATAAGGTCTAGAATGTTGCTGTGGGAATTGGTCTGGCCTGGAAGTGGGGGGCTGGATCTGAAAGACAAGGAATGTAAGAACTGAGGCTAGAGCTTGAGACTAGATGTCTGTGGGGTAATTGATATCATGTAAGACAACAGTAAGATTTTAGATGGAGATTATTATCTGATGATTGTTTATACCTACAACAGATTTTT